CGTTTTGACAGTGTCCACCTGGACATTTTAGTCATATTTGCTAATTCTCCTTAATTATTGCCCTGTTTCGATCCATTTTCCTGGGAAATTTATTTATTATTTTATTATTATTTTGTTTTAAGGAGATAAAAATGGTGCTCATCAACCTTCGATGACATGGCAATACAATTATATCACATTATTTTGGCAGTAAAATTTTGGGCGTTTTTTTCTTGGAGTCGGCGATTTTTGGTGAGCTTTTGGGCTGGAAATCACCATCCCGATCTGGCAACACTGCTAGAGGCTAGCACCAGGACTGGAACTCAGGTCGCCGTGAGCACAGCTCTATCATGTCACAGCGCTCGCTGCCTACGAGGCTATTGCTCTGACTTAACAGCTCATTTTCATCAGTTATATTGTCTATGGATCGTTACATTTCGTTACGTTACAATTCTGGTTGTTTTAAATCAGACACAGATAAAGTAGCACTGCATTTGAATGCAGTGGCGATCGAACAATGTCTAAAGTGAATTAATCATACCTGTAAGTGCAGCGTCTCTTTGCTGTTAGTGAAGCTGTAAGTTTTAGTTACTTCAAAAGCAGAAAGAAATATAGGCCTATGTTAAGCTAGTTATTTTAAAGCTAGTTATTTTAGTCAAAAAAGTTTTAAATGTGGATATTTTTCTTACACACACACACGCATCGCTTCGCTTCAAAAGGCCATTATAGCCCCGCCAGAGCCGCGTGGATTACTTTTATCATGGATGCATGCATGAGCATGATAGACTTAAAACAGAAACGGCCATTCACTGCCATTATAAAGCTCGGAAGAGCCAGGACATTTTTTAATATAACGTCTGAAAGAAGAATGTCATATACACCAAGGATGACTTGAGGGTGAGCAAATCATGGGCTAATTCTCATTTTTGGATGTCTTTTGGATGAGATCCTTTATGGTCTGTGTTAGGTGCTTTTAGCGCTAAAGCGCCTATTGGCTGCTCTTGCAGCAAATGCAGCAGCCTATCGAGAGAGACTCTGCGTGACGTAATGACCAATGGGGGCAATTCGCGCCCATATCGTCACGTCCCGCCAGAAAGGGCGTGGTCTCACCCTATAAATATGCTCGTTAGGCTGGTACAAGCTGGTTTTCATCGCTGAAGCGAACCAGAGCGTATTCCAAGCACGGCAAGATACGCAGTGGACTTGTAGTCGAGACCGCCTAAACCGAGACCAAGACACTACCAAGACCAGATGGTATCGAGACCAAGACAAGACCAAGACCAAGACCAAGACAGACCAAGTCGAGACCAAGACCAAGTCGAGACTAAGACCGAGACCAATTTGAGACCGGAGGGGAAAAAAACATTAGTGTTGAAGCTAAGCAATAACTTGTCAAATGTTGTTTTGCATTTGCCTGCCTATCTCTGCTGATTTCGAAGTCTCCAAATGAATCCATTCTGCAACTTTTAAATACATAATTATATTTTTAAAAACGAAATTATAGGCTTAAGTGCAGGATCCGAAAGTTGGTCGTTTTTGTCGCTATGGTTACACACACACACACACACACACACACCGTTGGCGGTGCGCTCAAAGTCATCTGTCAGTTGTGCAGTTACCCAAAATCTCCTGAATGAAGGTAAAACCCATCATGTCACTGATATGTGTTTTACTAAATATTAATATATCAAAAACTGTACATGATATGTGTTTTTTAAATCAAGTGATCAAAGTGCTCGTTGCCGCTGCGATCAGTGGCGCGGATACAGTGTTTTCTCGCGTGGCTCGCGCGCACCGCACTGTCTTCACTCGGACGCGCGCTTCAATACGTTGCGGATATCGTCGTGGATATTGTAGTAACGTTATTGTATTGCTCAATCCCCTGACCACTATGTCGGTCTGAGACAGCGAGACCTAGACAAGACCGAGAGGTCCGAGACCAAGACAAGACCGAGACCAAAGACCGTCAAGGCCGTGACAAGACCGAGACCACGTAAAAGTGGTCTCGAGACCGGTCTCGAGACCAAGACCGGTCTCGAGACATACATCACTAATACGCAGTACTCGTTCCCTCTCTAGAGAGAACCGAGGTACTCGAGAACCGAGGCTCGTACTACGTAATAGCTTACGCTAGGGGAACACAATGCAACACGCCGTGCGTACAGGGATCCAACACCAAAGTCCCAAGGGCCGAAGCCCAGGGCTCATGTAGTGCATAATCACCATAAACTCACATAGAGTGGAGGAAGAGAGGCTGGAAGCGTCATTCCCTATAAAAAAGCACCCAGTGGGGCTATCATATGACAATAAAACGCGCAGCCAGGGTGAAAGCTTTCAGCCTGATCTGGGTGGCCATACGTGTGTCAACACTCATGGGGCTGCAGTAAACTCAGCATCTGGGCCGCACAGCGGGGCAGATAGCACTGAATTTTAGACCGCCAAAAGCTTAGCTTGTAAGGCGGGTACCTCCAGGTTATAGTATTTTTGCAGAATTTAAGACTAAGCTACGCAATTTTGAAGAGACAGAGAAGATAAAAGCAGCCGAGTCAAGCGACAGTGTGATGAAGACTCAAGGGAAAGCCGGACGGTGGCCCGCCAAGACAAACGCACATGGCTGGATCAAGGACGACACAGAGACGGTGTGTTTCAAGTGTGGCACCAAAGGCCACAGAGCGAAAGTATGTCGACAGAAAACATGGTGTAGTTTTTGCAGAAGTGACACACACAAAGACTCCACATGTAGACGTAAGGACAAAAAGGATGGTGCGAGTAAAGCCTCAGAAGATGCTGAGGACTACGTGTTCAAGATGAGAGACGGAGGGACCAGTATCCAGCGGCAGCCGGCATGCAGCATCCAAGAGAGGGGTCTGATGGTGGACACGGGGGCTACCTCTCATATCATCACGGACATAACCCTGTTCAAGAGCTTCGACAGCGCGTTTAGGCCTGAAACGCACAGTGTCGAACTGGCAGATGGCACCCGTTGCAGAGGGATCGCTCAGCGGAGGGTAAATGCTGAAGTCTCTCTTACAGACCGCGGAGGACAGCGACACAAGGCAGTGCTGAAAGACGCTTTGTTCGTACCGTCGTACCCCCAAAGCATCTTCTCAGTGAAGGCAGCGACAACAAGTGGGGCTACGGTTGTCTTTAAAGAAGCCAGATACGGTACCAGATTTAACATACACGTGTATGGTAGGCTGTATTATCTCCATACTGAAGCTGAGTCTAATGATAAGTGTAATGCATGTCACGACATACAAACATGGCACGAGATATTAGACCACTGTAACTACGACGATGTTCTTAGGTTGCAAAATGTTGTGGAAGGTATGGAAATCAAGGGCAAAACAGGCAGACCTGAACAAGAGTGTGAGGTCTGTATTAAGGGGAAGTTTGCCCAAACCAGAAATAGGGACCCTGATGCCAGAGCAAAGGCTCCCTTACAGATGGTACACACAGACCTAGCAGGTCCAGTAGCCACAGAGTCGATAGATGGTTACAAATATGTGCAGTCATTTACTGACGGTTACTCCAGCGCTGTGTTTATATATTTTCTAAAGAAGAAAAGTGATACAGTACAGGCTACTGAAAAGTTCCTAGCAGATGTATCCCCTTACGGGAAAGTGAGGTGCATCAGATCCGATAACGGAACCGAGTTTACGTGCGGTGATTTTCAAGCACTGTTGAGGGAAAACAAGATCAGACATGAAACGTCAGCTACGTATTCCCCACACCAGAACGGAACTGCAGAAAGGGGTTGGCGTACTCTTTTTGAGATGGGTAGGTGTATGATAGTTGAAAGTGTACTACCGAAGCAGCTATGGAACTACGCGGTACAAACAGCAGCAATGGTACGCAACAGGTGTTTTAACAGGCGTACAGGGCAGACTCCTTATGAGTTACTGACAGACAAAAAGCCTAACGTATCTAAAATGCAAAAGTTTGGGTCTGTATGCTACACGTACAAACAGGACAAGGGAAAACTTGATTCCAGATGTGACCAGGGGCGTTTTGTAGGTTATGACAAGAACAGCCCGGCGTATTTGGTGTATCATCCAGATACAAATAAAGTACAGAAACACAGGCTAGTGAAGTTTGTGAGCAAGGCAGCTGTGGAAAAACAGACACAGACAGATGAGACAGATCCAAGCGATAATTATGACAGTGTAAGACCCGGGACTACTGAGCCCACAGAGAGTAGGAGTACAGAAAATGCTCCCGAGCCAAGTGTACGGGGTAGAAATGTACATGATAGTCCAGGTGCAGTAACGAGGTGTAGTGACCATAATCAAACACAACAGAGTGTGACATGTGATGAACCCGAGAGTAGAAGGTATCCGACTAGAGAAAGATAAACACCGAGCTACTTAGATGACTTTGTAACTGAAGATAGTGATAGTGATGAGGTTCATATCACGGTAGACTACTGCTGCAGAGCGGTGTGTGGCATTCCACAGACTTTTGAAGGAGCAATGGAGTCAGCTAATTCAAAAGAATGGATAAAAGCCATGGATGAGGAAATTCAGTCTTTAAATGAGAACAAGACCTTTACCCCGACAACACTGCCACTAGGCAAGAAAACAGTGGGGGGTAGATGGGTTTACTCTATCAAGACCGATGTAGATGGAAAGGAAAAATACAAAGCACGTTTTGTTGGTAAGGGTTACAGCCAGCGAATGGGAGTAGACTATGGGGAGACGTTTTCACCCACGGCAGATTTGACAAGTGTAAGGGTGGTGTTACAGAAAGCAGCGCAGGAGAATTTACTCCTGCACCAAATGGACGTGAAAACAGCGTACTTGCACGTGCCCATAGACTATGAGATCTACATAAATCCACCAGAGGGTTATCAAGAGAAAGAGGGTATAGTTTATAAACTAGAGAAATCCCTTTATGGTCTTAAATAATCTGGACGGAACTGGAATAGGGTTTTGCACGACTGTCTGATTGAGGATGGGTTCACACAAAACCCAGCCGACCACTGTGTTTATGCTAAAGAGTCAAGAGAAGGAAAGGTGATCATGATCATATGGGTCGATGACCTGATCATTGCAGCAAGTAACAAAGAGAGACTGAAAAAGGTGAAAGAGATGCTTGCAGAAAAGTTTAAAATGAAAGATCTGGGTGAACTCAAACATTTTCTGGGTATCGATTTCAGTCAGTCAGACGGATGTGTAAAGATGTCACAGGAAAAGTACACTAATAAGATACTACAGCGTTTTAATATGCAAGACTGTAGGACCAGAGAAACACCCGGTGAGCAAAAGCTTGAGTATACTGCGGATGCAGTAAAGATGGAAGATAGCAGGGTGTACAGAGAGGCCGTGGGAAGTCTTATATACCTGACTACGTGCACCAGACCAGATTTGAGCTTTGTAGTGAGCAGGTTGTCACAGTATTTTGCTGAGCCTACAGAGGAGCAGTGGGTCACGGTGAAACACGTACTTAGATATCTCAAAGGCACAGCAGAGAAAGGGTTAAGTTTCAGGAGAAACGACCATGAAAAGCTAGGTATAAAGGCCTACAGTGATGCTGATTGGGCAGCTGATACCAGTGACAGACGCAGTACCACGGGATACTGTGTGAGCCTTAGTCAGAACAGCTCCCTAGTCTCATGGAAGACTAGAAAACAACCTACGGTTGCACTATCAACGTGTGAGGCAGAATATATGGCACTGGCTTCAACCATACAGGAGTGTCTATACCTAGAGCAGTTACTGGGAAGTATAGATAACTATGAGTACACACAAACGATAGTATATGAGGACAATCAGGTCAACAATCGCTCTTGCCAACAATCCTGTAAACAGGCGAAGATGTAAGCATATCGACATAAAGTACCACTTTATCAGGTCTACTGTGGATGAGGGAAGAGTGATTTTAATGTATTGTTCTACTGACAAAATGATTGCTGATGTAATGACCAAACCTGTGAATAAGTTGAAACTGAAGAGGTTTGCAGGTGCTCTGTTTTCTGATTGATGTGTATAACAGAAGTCCACATTCATTTCATTTTATTTATTTTCTTTGTTTGATTAAGAATATAACAACCTGAGTACAAGTGGGGGTGTTAAAATATGGTCATTATGTCCTAAGTTGTAGCTATATTGTGTAATGAAATGCTGTACAGTTCTGTGTATAGCATATGTTTATGCCACAAGAGGGCACTCAAGTACAAACTATGGAGGACGCGTTTGCGTTATTATGTTTGTCCTTTCTGACTTTATGTTGTTCATCTTTATGCTGTCTGACCGTGAGACTGATGTGTCTGCAGCGCAAATAATAAATAAGCCGAGATCGGCTAAAGATGATTCATCTCTATCGTCCACTTTTTCTTTTGAATGCAACGCTAGCTGAAACATAACTCAACAAAGGGTACTATTTTTTGACAAAGTGTGTGCGGTTTCGTTTTCTTAAGTAGCCTACCGATTCAAGAACCGTTTAAGCACCGGAACCGTTTTAAAAATGCCGAATTGGTACTGGTATCGGATATGAGTCTTCCCCTACCATCCTAGAAAAAAAATATTGCTCCACAGATGTAAATATACATTTTTCTTTGTTTCGCTCGTACATTTAACGGCGTACACATACACGCGGAATCACTCGGACATTTAATGGCGTAGACATACACGCAAAAGATGACGGTTCATTTCGGCGTGGACATACACGCGGATAGCTCAAAATGCGTATAGATAACACGCCACTTGACTTGAAAGTGGCGTGTATGTTTACGCAAAGTCATGATGTCATGTTGGGATCAAACCCAACCGATACCCAACCCTACCGGTTTCATAGACGGCTCATAGATTAGGCCAGGAGTAGGCCTGTGTTAAGCCTGTGTTAAGGTTCTTTCTTGGGAAATAAATTAACTGTAAATTATGAGGTAATTCTTTCTTCATTTACTAAAACAAATTTTACATTATTTTACAGTAAACTTTCATTCTCATTGAAAATGTAGTATTTAGGTCTACTACAGTTTAGTTTACCGTACTGTATGATTTTACATTATTTACATGACAAATGCAAGTATTTTTACTGTGAACTCTTTACTTCAAACTCACATAATTCAGTGTCGAGGAAGTGTGTGTTTGTCACCAGTTATTGCGGTACTCCAGTGAAACATGGCTTTGTTTGTGCAGTTTAGTCCTGAGAAGCCAGTGGGAGCAGACACCGTGGGCTACGTGCGGAAGCCGAGCGCCACTGATAAAGTGCACTGCGTGGTGTGTGTAGTAGACGCCTCAAAGGTCGCCTCATACGCCAAAAGCTTCGGCACAACCTTCCATCAGCTGAGAGAACACATCAGCAACCTAGGTGAGTCGGGTCTGTTTCAGATCACCGCATTCACAGTCCACACACTGAACAGTGTTATAAGCCATGAACCAAACCAACCAGCTACGAGGTGAATCTCAACATTACAAACTCTGATTTGAAGCAAAAAGTGTTTGAAAATCAGACAAAAGACAAGACTGTGAGCTTAACGGCTTTAGTTTAAAAGTCACAATTACCTTTTATGTATTTTTTATATCTGTGGCAGAAACAAATTTCCAACAAAAAAAAAAGCATTTCTAGACATTTCTATTTTTGTTTTGTTTTTCAAAAACGCTTAATGTGTGAATGGTTCCCAAGACCTATGAATAAAAAAGATATCCAACAAATGCGCCATTATAAGGGCCTTTACATAGTCAACGCGAGCAACGCGAGCAAGCAACGCGAGCGACGCGAGCTACGCGCTCCTTTTCATAGTACACAAGCGTCACCGGCGATGCGTGAAATGCAATACACCGATCGCGCAGCAGGGGGTAGTAGAGTCTAGAGTCGGGTCACGTAATATTCAGATCAAAATGGCAACTGAAGAGGAGTGCATATTGCTGATTTTACATCGGCGGCAACAAAGGATGTATACGAACAAGCTCGCATAACTTTTCCTCTTCGCCCGCCATTGTATTCAAATCTTCTTCTTCTGTAAACATAATAATATACCTTTTTATGTACATTACTTGCAATGTCGCCCCCACCGACAACGCATAGTATTGCGTGCATCCGCGCGTCGCGTATCAAAAACTAGGATGACACATTTGGCTACGCATCGACGCATAATGGCGGCCGAAGCGTAGCGATGTGTAGCCTTGCGCACGCGTATGCGTACCGATGCGTTGACTATGTAAGGGCCCTAAGTTTGCTTTTTCATCTGTAAAATCTTACAAAACTAAAAAAAAAGATTATATGTATAGGAATCGCTGGTTGTGACTGCTGACATCAGCAAATAAAAACACCTAATACATGAGATGGCATATAAACCGTTGATAAGATATAAATCTTCCATATTTTACACATACACATAGTTGTTCAACAAATGAAAAATAACGTTGCGTTGGCCGGGAATCGAACCCGGGTCAACTGCTTGGAAGGCAGCTATGCTCACCACTATACCACCAACGCCTGCTGACGGGGGCGCGCAGGAGCGCTCTGATTCGCGTGACACTGAGGAAACCTTCTCGATTACAGTGCTTTCAGGGATTCATTTCATTCACTGTTGCTCTGGTCCTCAGATTGGCTTCCTTTAGTCATTGTATTTTGAACGGAACTTCAAAAAAGTCCATCTTTTTGGCGAAATTTGCTTTTTTTAACCCAAACTTTGAATCTAGGAAGTGATTCGTTTTACAAATAACCTGTGTATTTCTTTGTTAGGCTAATCACTTATTATTATGTACTTAGGTAATTACTCAGTTAATATGATGTGCGCAGCACAGAAATCTGCTGCAGCAATACGTAGTAACATTATTGTTGTTAAAAGAAAAGAAGTGTTTGCATGTATTGTACGTTAGGCTACTCTGTTTTTCCACTGTGTATGAGTGCATCGCATGATATACCATGGAGTCTCTTCTTCTGTATAATTGTTTTTGTCACACTTCATCTATATCAAGGTTGTGTGGTTAATTCACACCTTTTCTCATACGCACAGGCTTTCAATAAAGATTTGACTTTGACTTCTGTGCAGTGCGTCATTCTGGGTCCCTGATATCAGTGTCACTCTCTGTGTCTTTAATTTGATAAGGAAGATCCATAGTTATTAATCTAACAATTATTAAAGGAGCAACAATCACAAACGTACTGTAAAGCGACGAGAAAGAAACAAGTACCATATGTGATAAGTCTGCGTAGTGGTGTACGTTTTCTCTGTAGGTCACGTGATCGTTGTTGCACCAGAAGGTGGCGGCAAGGGACCGTGTTTATGAGCCGAATCATTCACTGAACCGATTCGTTCAAACACGCTGAATCATTCAGGGAAGTAACTGTCAAATGATGCGCAAAACTGTGTATTTCGCTCGTGTGGAGCCACAACTCTACAAAAGAACACACAGATCAGTTCAGGAGCTCGTATAGAAAATTATTATTATTGCTTATTATAACAAGCTGATAGTCTAAAGTGTGTTATCAGACAAGGAGACATACCCTGTGCAGTGCTGTGGTCCAAAATCACTGATCTAACCTATGAAACAAATTCGTGATTTTTTTTTTTTTACATAACATAATCAAACTTTCAATAGAAAGAACAATACTTGCAACTTTGCAAGCAGAGTAATTGTATAACAAAAACCTTAAAATAGTGTGTGGTTCTTAGGGGAAGTTGTTGTGATTTATCTCTGAGCTTGGTGTTTTATCAGGATATTGGTGTTTTTTAATCCTTGTGAGAGAATATGCATGGGAATTTCATTTTGATCAGAAAGAGAAATACTGTGCGTCTACTCAGTACTCAACTGAACACCAAAACGCTAGCCTGCGACGTGCGCGTGCGCGTTCATACAGCAACGTAACGTGACGTATATGTAGTCCGACGTCATCACGCTGGACTCTGACCCTCTTATTTGTCATGATCGAGAATAATAACAAGTAAAGACCCGAGTTCAGCCGAGGACCCTGGAGCAAAGGTAAGTCAGAAGTTACCTTCAGATATAACTTATCTGTTACGGAAGAAGACAGACTCTGTGAAGCTGTTCTTCACTGATTAAGACACAAATCAACTGCGAGCTCGAGCTAAAGCAGGTGAGTCGATGTATAGATTTATTATTAAACACACGACAGTCAATAGTAATGCGTGTCTGACTCTGGTTTGAAACAGGCTGCCTTTGTTGCGCAGTGATAACGAGCTCTTTTGCTGCTCTCTTGTTTTGACACTTGTGTTTACTGTATTAGTTTAACAGTTACACGTCTCGTGACGTTGTTATTAAAAGAGAGTAAACGTTATGTTTAACACAACAACGTCATCACGGCTTTGCTTTTGAATCCAGTGCGACAGTTTGAATAAAAACATCTGCTTAATTATTATTTGTATTGAGTGTATAACATGAATATCTGAAACTGTTTAAAATGCGTGGTGTAAATATGGAAGTTGAGTGAATCTCATAAAACCTGCCAAGAACATGTCTGCGTCCTATTTACTGTACTGTGAAAATATTAAATGCATATTTTAAAGGGGACCTTATGCAAAATTCACTTTTACATGGTGTTTGAACATAAGTGTGTGTTGGAACACAACCACCCTACAATGGTAAAAAATCAACCCAATCCTATTTTTAATTCCCATAAATCATAAGCAGTGTCTCAGAAAAAGCTGTTTGCAGATTGTAGCTTTTGTGACGTCACGTTGTACTGGCCCCGCCCACGACTGCTGACGGATTAGCATAGACTCCGCCCTCACATTAACACGATTTTAATCAAGTATTAGTAAATGTTGACATTAACATTAACAAAGATTTATAAAGCTGTATAAGTGCAGTTCCTTATTAGATCATGCTAACTAATTTAGTTAACTAATGAACCTTATTGTAAAGTGTTACCGAGATAATTATCAAAACCAAACAGTTTTTGGCAGAGTATCCGAGGCACGAGCTGTAAAGGCCCCGCCCTCTTCTGGAAAACTAATTTGCATTTAAAGATACATCCACAAAAACAGCATGTTTTTCCTTCCTCTCAAAAATTAAAAAAATTAAAATCTTCCTTCCATTTACAACATGGTATAATAAACTATCTTGGGATATTTTGAGCTGAAACTTCACAGACATATTTTGGGGAACCTGAAACTTATATTAAATCTTGTAAAAAAAAAAGGGGGCATAATAGGTCCGCTTAAAGTGTGAATAATTTATTCAAGGTAATATTTGTGTTGATTTTAATTTCATTTAGGAATGCATCATATGTTCATTTTTAATGTTATCGTTATCGGACCTATAAGAAAATCTAGCCGATATATTAAAGCCGATAAATAATGGATTATTTCCTCCAGTTAAGACACTTCAGATGTGCACTGTTCAACATGATAGTTTTGAATTGCTTGAAATTTAATTGAAATCACTTCAAAAAAGAAAATACAGTTAAGTGCAACGTGCTGTCATACATGCTGCATAAAATTATAATGAGATATTATATGCAATTGTGTGCTTGGGTCATGGATTTTAATGGTGAGACTTTTGTTTTTGTAATCAGTCTCTCAAAAATGATATACAAATTTGGTTACAATTTATTTTAAGGTGTCATTGTTACAGTGTAATTATATATTTAAGTACGGAGTAATATTAAGCAACTACATGTACTTACTATAGGATTACGGTAGGATTAGGGTTTGGTTGAGGGTTAGTTGCATGTAATTATGCATAATTTACTGTTATTACTATGGTAAGTACATGTAACATATGTAACAAGGACACTGTAAAATAAAGTGTTACCAAAAATTTATTTATCGGCAAATATATCGGTTATCGGCTTTCAAATATTAAGAATTATCGGTTATCGGCCAAAATGTTCATATCGGTGCATCCCTAATTTCATTACAGTAACAGGAATCTAATGAATCGCCTTTGAGAATAATGGGAAGAATTACACACAAATCCAAAAGCATTGTGACCGTGAGAATTTCTATTATAATACATTTAATTTAATATAGTGTAATAAGTAATGTTCACTCGTTCAAAAGTTTGAGGTTGGTAAGATTTTTTAATGTTTTTAAAATATTGCAGCATTTATTTGATCAGAAACAGTAAAAACTGTAATTTTGTGAAATATTATTACAATTAAAAATAGTAATTTAAAACGTATATTTAAGATATATATTTTTGTGGAAACTGATACTTTTTTTCAGAAATACAAACATTTAGTTAGCCTACATTATAAATCTCTTTACTGCATCTTTTGGTCAATTTAATGTGTCTTTTGCTAAATAAAAGTATTAATTGGTTTCACACAAACAAACCTTACTGACCCCAAACCGTTGAACAGTGGAGTATCATCAGCGGAGTCGTGAATATAATGTTAGAAACACGGGCCTTCAACAGGCTTCATTTTCTTTCAGTACTTTTGATTTGTGGGGTGAAATATGACCTGAACATGTGTGTGAACGTTAATAATAAGCGGTCTGGTCCTGCAGCCCAGTGGAGCGGGATGTTGCCTGATAAAGATGGACCGAATGGAGGCGGAGGAGTCCGGGACGGGCCCGGGACAGAAGACCCCTCAGTGACCCTGTTCAGAGAGTACCTGCGGCTGAGGACCGTCCACCCCGAGCCCGACTACGGTACCTGAGCAGACTCCTTCTCACTTGCTCCTAAAAATAAACCGGAGATTAATAGTGTTTCACCATCTAGGTTTATGACTACAGTTAACCTTTGCCCAGGAGTTCGTGTTGACCCTGTAAATGGTGTCTAGTAGGCACATAACTAGCTTTAAGACAGGACGCTTTGGCTTGAAGGGTGTCGTAACGCATTACTAATGACATCCATCCAAAGTGCATTAGTTGATCTCTGCCCTCGCTCTCAAAGTGCTGGATATTTATAAACTAGCAGTTGGGTATTCACTGACTTGTGTGTGTGTGTGTGTAACCGAAATTGTTTGTTATGCTGAAATACAGAAGAGTCTTAAAGGAAGAGTTCAGCAAATAATGAAAGTATGTCATCTTTCTAATGTCATTCCAAACCTGCTGGATTGTTTTTCCCTCTATGGAAACATACACAAAAGAAGATATTCAAACAATGTTGTAGATATTGAACTATGTTGGTGACCAAGCAGTTTTGGTACCCATCGACTTCCATTGTATGGATAAAACACACACAAAGAAAACAGGCAATTCTCAAAATATCTTTTTTGTTCCACAGAAGAAAGAAAGGCACATGGGTTTGGGACGACATGAGCAACAAAGCCCCGCGTTTTGTCAGATGAAATATAACGTATCTTTGTGACATGTTAATCATTTAAAGTCCCTCTGTAGTCAATGATTGTCTCCCTTAAAACTCGTTTTGATCAGCAAAATGACAAATTTAAAAGATTTTTCCTTAAAAAAAAATTAGTTTGCCTTAAAATAGCTTGAATGTAACTCGACACCAGTATATTCCCACTTATTAATTGTAAAAACTAATACAGTCAACTGTAAAATGTATTATTTTACATTTATTTTAAGGTAACGTAGAACACATCACATGCACTATAGTAATAACAGTACATTTTGCATAATTAAACAACTAACTCTAAGCCAAGCCCTATAGTAAGAACATGTAGTTAATGAATATTACTTGATTTTTTTTATTTAGCTATTTAATTCCAGCTACTGCGGCTTTTGTAAATATTTTGTTTTTACATTGCTCTATTATTAAATTTAGTCAAAATGTAACTGTTAAATATTTAGTCGTGCATATTAAGTTGTAATGGGTCCCACTTTAGATTACGGTCCAATTTTTACTATTAACTATGACTTTTCCCTCAATAAACTCTTATTAATAGTAATAGTTAGTAAGGTAGTTGTTAAGTTTAGGTATCGGGTGGATTAAGGGATGTTGAATATGATCATGCAGAATAAGGCATTAATATGTGCTTTATAAGTGCTAATAAACAGCCAATATCCCAGTAATATGCATGCTAATAAGCAGCTAGTTAAGAGTGAGAAGTGGACCCTAAACTAAAGTGTTACCTAGTAATTTGGTGCACATTTACCCAACCGTCTTTAACCTGTCCTGACGTGAAATTCCCATTCTCATGGATTCCTATTGAAATGACTGGATTTCACCCGCAAAAATGGGCAGAACAACCGTAGATATGACCGTAGTGTAATGTGTTTTTCACAGCATGAGAGCAGAATTAAAAACACTTGTTTTGTTCTTGGTGCAATATTTTACTGACGAATGTGATTAGAAGATGATAAGTTAATAACGTAGTCTCTGAAAGTGATGGATAATGATTAAATGAAGCTCAACCTTTGGTTATTATCACGAATGAGAAGTTGCTGAGCATCCTGTAAAGTAAACGTTGTCCCTGTCGTGGATCATTGTCAGATGGTGCTTTGAGATTCCTGGAGCGGGTGGCAGGCGAGCTCGGCTTACCCATGAAGAAGGTGGAGGTAATGATTCATGTGAAAGAAGTCGACTGATATGCTCCTGCTGGATCTGTGTGCCCTCCTTCATCGTGTTCTCGTCATGCACCCCTCTCTGGCTCTCTCAGGTGTGTCCCGGTCGGGTCGTGGCCATCATCACATGGGTCGGCACCAGGCCTGAGCTGAAGTCTGTGGTGCTGAACTCACACACTGATGTTGTTCCTGTGTATGAGGTACGGCTGTAACACACACCCATCAGCGCACGCGTCAGACCATCTCACTCATGTGCCGTGTGTGTGTGCTTCAGGAACACTGGAAACATGACCCGTTCGCTGCTGTGAAAGATGCGGAGGGCAACATCTATGGCAGAGGCTCTCAGGATATGAAAAGTGTCACGATACAGTGAGTTTGAAACCAACTTAAAGAGCTTCTTCACATGTTCATCATCTGTCTTTAGTGTGTTATGTTGCTGTTTGAGCATGAAACGCCCCTCCTGCGGGAGTTCTTCTCCATATCAGTGTCAGTGTTTCTGAACTCCCTGAAACGTCTTGAGTTTCTTCCGGGAACGAACACGTCACAATATTCCTCATTTAAATCATTAACACGCAGAATAAAGGGGCGGGGCCTGGTTGAGTTAGTTAGTAGTGTGTTGAAACTGGCGGTAATGGTAAGAGCGGGACATTTCCCAAACACACTTCACAACACACTGATCCAGCCGACCAATCAGAGCACAGTGTGCTTTCAGAAGGAGGGGCTTCATAGAGACAGGAAGTAAACAGAGCGTTACTGACAGACTGGGAAGAGAGGAGCCGCAACAATGAGGAAAATAATCAACTGGAAAACCAGTTCTAGTAGAGCCCAAAAACTAAATCAAGACTTTGAAAGGGGGAATAATAAGTAATGGATAGTGTACATCCAGCCGGTTGTTATCTCAGAGTAAACCCCCGACAGGGTGATGAGGACCCCGAAGCGGAGCGGAGCTACGTAAATAATTATGGAGATTTTGATTTCAGATTAAACTGTTTTAAAATCGTACTTGTTTGTATCTTATAATCCAACAGTGTACAAAACAATAGTAGCAAAATGGCAGCAGAGCGTTTGTGTGAAACGAGAGAGAGCGAGTCCACGATACTGGATAGCAGAATTAAATAACTGTGCACAAAATATTGATTCGACTGAGTTTCAATATTTTATCAGCTCACCAAATGCAAAACTTCCACGTAAAAACGTCCTGCGTTATCTGTTTTAAGCAGTTGTTATCTGGGAATAACACACCGCTGGATGGTGCGATTGACCAATCAGAATCAAGTATTCCACAGAGCCGTGTAATAAGGCCACTTAAATTTGTTACAAGCTTTGCCTGAAAGTTTAGGGTAGTGTAAACTTGGACATTTGAAGATTGTACAGGCCATATTTATTTCTATCTTCTTTGACTTCTATCTTTGGTATGAACTATTTTTAACTTTGACCGTGGCGTGCGCGCGAGCTCGCCAGTGCTGCGCTCCGCTTTGGTCGACGCAGCGACGGGACGTCCCAGCGCGGCGCAAGCCATTGAAATAAATGGGTTTCATAGCGCAGCGCATTCCCCGTCCTGTCTGAAAGGGCCGTTAGTGACTGAGAGCACTTGGTGTGATAATGTAAAGCTAGTATTGCATGTTCATTTGTGGAATATGCAGTGAACATGGCCAAAACATGTTGCACTGTCTCAGATTTTGTTCAAACCTTGTCTATATCAAGAATGTGTCCCAAAACCAAGCCCTGTAAAATATTTCTGTTCAAATCCAGTCTCTTCATATTTTTAAGCCCTTGAAATTACTTCAGTTTTACAGCCTGAAAATCACATTATCTGGGAAGCAATATTTAGACATTTAATATAATGAAAAGTATTATTCATAGGCATTATCTACTTAGACAGTGATGCATTTTGAAAAATATAACTTGTGATTTGCTTAAATATCTGATGCTCCTGCTATTACGAAACACAATTTTGGCTGTTTATAGCATTATCTCTTTTAATGTGTTAAAAACACAAAATAATAATTTTGACTATGTATTTGTATGTAATTTACGGTGGTGTACCGTGCTGGAAAAAGCTTTCAAATGGACCTTGAAAAGTGGTTGAATTTGACCTTGGAAAAGGTGTACGAACCCTGAATGTAGCGTTGTATGACGCTTTCACGTGGTGAACACAGCGACTTCAATGAACAACTTGAACCTGTTGCAAAATCTGTTATTCCCGATCATCGCCCTTGAAATTGTGCGAAACACCGATAAATATGAGCGCACGTTTAGACAGAAAGACGGACGACAGATCGATACATTTTGGTTGAAATCATGACCAATCTGAGATGTAGTGAGAGCATTCTGCCAGTGTATATCAGTAGTGTTCATATCTGCACATCCGGCGATCACTTAAAGAACAAAGCCTGCCGCGTCTGAGCTGACTGGAGGTCTGTGCCGAATCTGATGCCGAAAGCTTTTGGACTGATGTAGTCAGAAACATGTGCTCATCGGTTAGATGTCTGAAAAGAATAATGATTTGTTTGCTTCTGTCTTGATTTCTCCCTCAGGTACATTGAAGCGATTCGCAGACTAAAGGCTTCTGGGAAGAGGTTTTCTCGCACTATCCATTTAATGTTTGTCCCAGGTCAGACCTCACGACGTGCTCTGATTAACTAACGCCCCTTTTTAATTATTTTATACACAGGTGCTTTCATGATTTTATGTATCATATTTCCTTCATGGAACCAAAGATGCCAATAAAGAACTTTTATTTTTTAATAGTGCATGTCATATGTTTGTAATACTAATTCATCATTGGTTGATCGACTCCAAAACACACACAACACAATCTTATCTACCCGAATGTATGCTATCCCTCACATACTCATGTGCATTAAACATGGCATCTGCAATAGAAGCCACTAACCCTCCAACCCATGTTCTCCACAGACGAGGAGGTCGGCGGGCACAAAGGAATGGAGACGTTTGTGAAGCACCCTGCGTTTGAGGAGTTGAACATCGGTTTTGCCCTTGATGAAGGTAAGCAGTGCTGTGGATGCAGTCCTCTAGATCCTGCAGGCACTCAGACATGTAGATATAGCGAGGGGTGAACTGGTTATATACTGGTTATATACAGTTACACTGTTTTAGTTCTGACACAACCTCATGCTCATCTCTAAACACAGTGACGACAGTGCATTCAAACACACAACTGTACCCGTGTGTGCAATTCAATCTGTGTAAACTACATTTCAACAAGAACACACCAACATTAACTTTTTGCCTGTTTGATTTGTTCACAGGTTTGGCAAACCCAACTAATGCTTATACTGTCTTCTACGGAGAGAGAAATCCCTGGTGTGAGTATTGTGTGTGTGTGTGTCAGTAAACATGCGCTGAGTGTGTGAGACTGTGACTGTGAGTGTGTGTGTGTGTCAGTAAACGTGCTCTTGTTTTTGTGAATTTTGAGGACACAAATGTGTATAATGACATGCATATTACACTGGTATTACAACTTACACGTGATATATGAGGACATTGCATGAGTATATTTCAAATAGCTTAAAAAACAATGTTTTTTTTAAAATGTAAAAATGCAGCATGTCTCCTGTGATGGGCAGGTTTAGGGATAGGGGCAGTGTAGGGGGAGAGAATATACAGTTTGTCCAGTATAAAAGCCATTACGCCTATGGAATGTCCTCATATATCACATAAACCACAGTGTGTGTGTGTAAGTGTGTAAGTGTGTGTAAGTGTGTGTGTGTGTCAGTAAACAGCGCTCTGTGCTGCAGGGATCACCGTTCGCTGTCCAGGAAGTCCAGGTCACGGCTCCAGGTTTGTGGAGAACACGGCAGCAGAGAAACTAGTGAGTGTGTTCAGTGTCATGTGACCAAACACTGGAGGCTGGGGTTGCAGTGCATGTCAAGTGCAATGGAGAAGAAATATGCCAGTCATCAATTTTCTCTTTTCATTTTAAGAAGAATGAAAAAAAAGAAGAAATAAAACTTTTGAATGATAGTATATATATGTGTATATATAAATATATATATATACTATGATTTTAAAAGTTTTTTTTTTCTTTTTATATATATTTTTCTTTTCATATACAGTATACACTCACCGGCCACTTTATTAGGTACCCCATGCTAGTAACGGGTTGGACCCCCTTTTGCCTTCAGAACTGCCTCAATTCTTCGTGGCATAGATTCAACAAGGTGCTGGAAGCATTCCTCAGGGAGTTTGGTCCATATTGACATGATGGCATCACACAGTTGCCGCAGATTTGTCGGCTGCACATCCATGATGCGAATCTCCCGTTCCACCACATCCCAAAGATGCTCTATTGGGTTGAGATCTGGTGACTGTGGAGGCCATTTTAGTACAGTGAACTCATTGTCATGTTCAAGAAACCAATTTGAAATGATTAGAGCTTTGTGACATGGTGGAAGTAGCCATCAGAGGATGGGTACATGGTGGCCATAAAGGGATGGACATGGTCAGAAACAATGCTCAGGTAGGCCGTGGCATTTAAACGATGCCCAATTGGCACTAAGGGGCCTAAAGTGTGCCAGGAAAACATCCCCCACACCATTACACCACCACCACCAGCCTGCACAGTGGTAACAAGGCATGATGGTTCCATGTTCTCATTCTGTTTACGCCAAATTCTGACTCTACCATCTGAATGTCTCAACAGAAATCGAGACTCATCAGACCAGGCAACATTTTTCCAGTCTTCAACTGTTCAATTTTGGTGAGCTCTTGCAAATTGTAGCCTCTTTTTCCTATTTGTAGTGGAGATGAGTGGTACCCGGTGGAGTCTTCTGCTGTTGTAGCCCATCCGCCTCAAGGTTGTGCGTGTTGTGGCTTCACAAATGCTTTGCTGCATACCTCGGTTGTAACGAGTGGTTATTTCAGTCACTGTTGCCCTTCTATCAGCTCGAACCAGTCTGGCCATTCTCCTCTGACCTCTGGCATCAACAAGGCATTTCCGCCCACAGAACTGCCGCTCACTGGATGTTTTTTCTTTTTCGGACCATTCTCTGTAAACCCTAGAGATGGTTGTGCGTGAAAATCCCAGTAGATTAGCAGTTTCTGAAATACTCAGACCAGCCCTTCTGGCACCAACAATCATGCCACGTTCAAAGTCACTCAAATCACCTTTCTTCCCCATACTGATGCTCGGTTTTAAACTGCAGGAGATTGTCTTGACCATGTCTACATGCCTAAATGCACTGAGTTGCCGCCATGTGATTGGCTGCTTAGAAATTAAGTGTTAACGAGCAGTTGGACAGGTGTACCTAATAAAGTGGCCGGTGAGTGTATATACTATTGTTCAAGTTTGGGGTCAGTAAGACTTTTCTTGAAAGAAATTAATACTTTTATTCAGCAAGGATGTTTTAAGTGGAAAAACTTTGTTACAAATGATTTGCATTTAAAATAAATGCTGTTCTTTTGACCTTTCTGTTTATCAAAGAATCATCAAAGAATCACTGTTTCCTCCAAAATATGAAGCAACAGCACAGCTGTTTTCAACATTATTAATAATCATAAACATTTCTTGATCATCAGATTCTCATATTAGAGTGATTTCTGAAGGATCATGTGACACTGAATACTGGAGTAATGATGCTGAAATACAGCTTTGATCACAGGAATAAATTACACTTTACTGTATATTCACATAGAAAACAGCTGATTTACATTGTAACAATATTTCGCAATATTACTGTTCCGCATTTGTAATCAAATAAATGCAGCCTTGCTGAGCAGAAGAGACTTCTTTCTAAATATGTTTAAAATCTTACGGCCCGTTCACACCCATAATGATGGCTATACTGATAACGGTAAAGATATGGTTAAAAAAATCTTTCTAAATATAGAAAAATCGTTCACATCATAGCTATAACAATAACTATAGAGAAACCATATCGTCAGAATCACGACGATAATAATGGCTTATCATTATAGTTGGTGTGAACGCCTTTACAGACCCCAAACTTTTCAACAGTGGTGTAATTCATACTGTAAATTGTCCATAAACATACAGTAAAATCTAGATTTTCAGCATCAATAAGCATAAAATAAGTGATATCTGCATCAAATGGGTGTTGGAAACAAATGTCATTTTATATTCTGCGTAAAACACTTTCAGATTGTGTAACAGTTGCGGATGCAGTTTCATGTCCGGGACTCATAGCCACTGAGAAACTACACAAAATATCTGTACTTTTAAGAAATCTGCAGGATTTATGACCGATAAAATTGTGAGAAGCCTCAAGCTTGTAAATATACAGCTGACGTGACAGCCTGCTACTGTTTGTGATGGATGTGTCTCTGCTGTGTCACAGCGGCGAGTTATTAACTCCTTCCTGGAGTTCAGAGAGAAAGAGAAACAGCGGTGAGCTTTATTCACAGGTTGGCTTTTCAGCAGATGCTTACAGGAGAGCTGGGAAATGTGGAAATACACCCGTGTGTGTGTGATTTGCAGGCTGAACACCAGCGAGTGCTTCACTCTGGGGGACGTCACCACCATCAACATGACCATGGTGAAGGGGGGCGTGGCTTATAACGTGGTTCCCGCGGAGATGGACGTGAGCTTTGACTTGAGGATCCCGCCCACTGTGAACCTGCCGGTGTGTACCTGGACCGCGCGGGCGTGTGTGTGTGTGTATAAGTGGGTTTGCTTTGAACTGATTGTCACGTCCAGCTCTGGTCATTCTGCAGGAGTTTGAAGAGAAGATAAAAGCCTGGTGCAGAGAAGCTGGTGAAGACGTCACGTATGATTTTGCACAGGTCTGGTTTATTTTTACATGCAACATGAAACACAGATTCAACCGGCCTGATCGCACGTCCGGTTATTTCACGTGTCCGCCGGTTTCGACTAAAAACGCTAAACTTTGTATGCGTTCTGGCCGTTTATTTATTGTTTTGAGGGCCTGAAAAAGTCTCTAAATTACAAAAACTAGATTTAGTGAAAACGGTGACGTCATGCGCATGTGTATTACGTGTTCGGTCTATAGTGTTTCTTTACAAAGTGACGTCGCCACCTACTGGTCTGGCAGGAATAATACAGCGCTTTTAGTCGTTTTCACGGGATCGCTTTGACAATGTTGTCGTCTGTACGCGAAAAACGCTTCAGTTTTTATTACATGGTTGTCATGTAAACGTGTCGTGTAAAACCGTTGGATAATTTACCTTTGGCATTAGCCAGAATGATGTTATTACATACACTTGCATTAAAAAAATCAGTGAACACACAAATATCTCATCAAATGCGTTGGCTTGACAAAGCCTTGTCAAGAGTTGAAATAGTAATATAAGCACGATGCTTTGATTGGTGATTCGAGAAGTTGTGGCCATAAATATTTCTTAATGCCCATGAAACTGTATTTTTCATTATTTTAATATAATTCATTTATTTAACGTATTTAGAAAAATATACACATTTTATAATAACATATAATATGTACAATTAATTGCAAATTTATCGCACATCAGATTTGGCTCCAAAAGATCATTTAAACTCATCATTGTGTTAAATAGGGAACTCTCAAATAGACTACAAAAAGTAGCTTGGTAAATGAAATATATATATTTTAATGAAATGATACTCCAAATAAGAAACTAAAACTGTCCGTGGGTGGCGGTCATAAATGTCTAAATTAGTAAGTCGTTTATTTCTTCATTCAAACAGCTGATGCATTCAGTACTGAAGTAAAGGCTCTCTTTACGAACGAGTCAGTGAATCATTGGTTCACCTATGCTATTCGTGACAAAAACATCACTTGTGTGATATTGCTTTACTATATAATGATATACTGTAAAAACTCATGATATCTAGCATTTTATGGACATTATAACTTCTTTCTATAGGCTATTGTCCTGCTTCATGTTCAGCCAATCAACTGTATCAGATGTCAGGTGACCCATGTAGGTCTGGGGCGGCTGCGTTAAATGCGTTCATTTAACACTTTATTTTTTCTCAGAACTAATTAATTAAATTATCACGTCAAATCGAAAAAAACTATTGAATGAAGAAAAAAGCTGTTTGTCCACATGATTTGGCTTCATATCTGCCGTTTTTGTCTTCTCCTCCTCAGAAACACATGGATCAGAACTTCACGTCGACGGAGGAGAGCGACCCCTGGTGGCACGCGTTCAGCTCCACCTGCACCGCCATGTGAGCGACACACACTGACGCTCGTGAGCATGAGTGTGTTTGTGTGTATGTTTACTGTATGTGACTCTGTCTGTCTCGTGACAGGAACGTGACTCTGAAGAAGGAAATCTTCCCCGCCGCCACAGACAGTCGCTTCATGAGGGAAGTAAGTGATTTCACTTCTCTCTGCGAGAGCGAAGAACCCGACACACACTCTCTGACAACCATGATCTCAGATATACTTACATATATATGAGGGAATTACTGTCTGCGAGAGCGAAGAACCCGACACACACTCTCTGACAACCATGATCTCAGATATACTTACATATATATGAGGGAATTACTGTCTGCGAGAGCGAAGAACCCGACACACACTCTCTGACAACCATGATCTCAGATATACTTACATATATGAGGGAATTACTGTCTGCGAGAGCGAAGAACCCGACACACACTCTCTGACAACCATGATCTCAGATATACTTACATATATGAGGGAATTACTGTCTGCGAGAGCGAAGAACCCGACACACACTCTGATAACATGATCTCAGATATACTTGCATATATGAGGGAATTACTGTCTGCGAGAGCGAAGAACCTGACCAAAGTCTCTTCTGCTCACCAAGGCTGCATTTATTTGTTTAAAAATACAAAAAAGAACATTAATATTGTGAAATATTATTACAATTTTAAACAACTGTTTTCTATGTGAAAATATAGTAAAGTTTAATTTATTCCTGTGATCAAAGCACTCATTACTCCAGTCTTCAGTGTCACATGATCCTTCAGAAATCACTCTAATATGAGGATCTGATGCTCAAGAAACATTTATCATTATTAACAATGTTGAAAACAGTTATTTACATTTTTATTTCAGGATTCTTTGATGAATAGAAAGTTCAAAAGAACAGTATTTATCTGAAATAGAAGCTTTTGTAACATTAAACACTACCGTTCAAAAGTTTGGGGTCAGTAAGAATTTTTATTTTGTTTTTGGGGGAAGAAATCAAATAAATCAATATTTTTATTCATCAAGGATGAATTACATTGATTATAAGTGACAGTAAAGACATTCACAATGTTACAAAAGATTCTATTTCAAATAAATGCTGTTCTTTTCAACTTTCTATTTATCAAAGAATCCTGAAATAAAATTGTACACAACCGTTTTCAATATTGATAATAATAATAAATGTTTTATGAGCATCAGATCATCATATTAGAGTGATTTCTGAAGGATCATGTGACACTGTAGGCTGGAGTAATGATGCTGAAATACAGCTTTGATCACAGGAATAAATTACATTTTAAAATATATTAAAAGTTATTTGAAATTGTCATATTTCACAATAAAATTATGTATTTTTGTTTGTATTTTCAATCAAATAAATGCAGCCTTGCTGAGCAGAATGGACTTCATAAAAATCGCACGATCCCAAACCTTTGACTGGTGGTGTGTATGAGCGAATGACAGTGTGAATTGTGTGTTTTTGTAGGTGGGTCTTCCTGCCATCGGCTTCTCCCCGATGAACCTCACCCCCATCCTGCTCCACGATCACAACGAGTACCTGAACGAGCAGGTGTTCCTGCGGGGCGTCCAGGTGTACGAGCGTCTGGTGCCGGCCCTCGCCAGCGTGGCTCCTCTGAGCGGAGAAGTGTAGATCACACACACACACACACACAGCTGCTTCACACATATCGACCGTAACACCAAAGATCCGGCTGATCCCATATAATGAGGATCTTTAATGAACTCTTTAATTAAGAGAATAATGTCTTAGATTTGCTTTTAAGTCTTAATTGTCTGCACAAATAGAAGCTGCTATTAATTAATAAAAAATATATTAATTTAACACTCTTAAAGGAACAGTTCACTTTTGTCATCATTTACTCTCTCTCGTGTCGTTCCAAACCTGTATGAGTTTCTTTCTGCTGAACTCAAAAGAAGATACTTTGAAGAATGTAACCAGACCCCTATTTTTTTTTTTTTCGTACTATGGAAGTCTGGTTACATTCTTCAAAATATCTTCTTTTGAGTTCAGCAGAAAGAAACTCATACAGGTTTGAAACAACATGAGTGATGACAGAAGGTTAATTTCGAAGTGAACTGTTGCTTTGAGTTAGGCAGTTTGTGTCTCGTACATCTAATGAAATAAGGGCATGATTTCAGAGACTCGAACCATATAGCTGTGCTTGCCATAGATGCATTATATTTTTTAATACAAATGACTTTGATGCAATCATATAGTTATGTATACTGAAACTGTGTGTGGGTCATTGATTACTATGATACCACACAATAACAATTATACACAATTATACTGAGTCATTGAGGTCAGATCTCTGTGGTTGACTGGTGCTACTTCGCCCTCCTGAATAAACAGAAGTTAAGAGGTACCATACATCAACTCCGTCTGACATTATTATGATCATTTTATGATGTGTGTATTATATTATTGCATTATATTAAACCAGTGTGTTTTGGAATTGGTATTATGACATTTATATTTTGTTTTCAAATGCACTTTTATTATCAATAGCTCCGTCTTCCACAATTGCCTACATTTAAACTTTTTATCGTTTCCATATTTCATCATGGGCAAAGGCTACTATTAGATGGATGGATGGATATATTTTAATATGTATTCTATAGATATATAGTATTTTTACACTTGATTTATTACAGCTTGATTGGAAACAACACACAATAAAACAACACAAAGCAATACATATATTTTCAATTCCCGTCACACGTCTCTGTCGATCTCAAACATGCTCTTGGTAAACAAATACTCTAACACTTTTGATTAAACATTTCCAGTACAGTTTTAATGTGATATTCACAAGATTAAAACTGTTTATCTGTTTGTTTTAATTAAAAATCAACCCTGGGGTGGTAAAGATGCAGAAGTTGAAAAAACAGTAATATCATATAAACAGTAATAAGTCTTTTTGTGAGGAAAAACAAACATTAGCACAAATTACAACCGGTTTTCTCTGATGGATGGATGGATGGATGGATGGACTTTTCTTTTTTGCAGTCAATCATGATATAAATCTGAAGATGATAAGAAAGTTAATCAAATCTAAGCTTTAAAATGGTAGTCCTTTTGTCTGTGTTTATTGTGGTGGCTACACATTAAAATAAGCCCAGCAGGAATAGCTGCTATCACAATCAAAACATCCAAATAAATATTAATAATCGTGGTCTCAAACTCCCCTGTAAGTCTCCAGAGCTCCTGAAGACCTTGATCAGCTGGATCAGGGGGCTGTGGTTAAACTCTACAGGACAGTGAGTTTGAGGCCACTGATTCAAAGCCATCCAGCTAAATTAACAAACAACAACAATTTATCCCATGTTCATGCCATTCCCCTAGAAAAATACATTTGTTGTTTATGGTAATCAGTTTATTGTCTAAGGATGGCCTTTTAGGGTGATTTGAAGAGACATGGCATCCCTTTTTTACCCTTCACTTCTAGCATGCAAACAAAAACCCATGTTTTGTGTCTACTGAAAAGCATCACAAAGAATCTGATGAAATTATGACCACTGTGGGGTAGGTCCCATTAATACAAAGACGCCGTCAGCAACTGTGGGGAAGTCGGAGTGTTAAGTCAATCAAAACTACAAATGTAAATGTTTTATTAACAACGTTCGGGAGGAGCACGTTCAGATAATCTATCCAATCAGCGCAAGAGGAAGCTTATATATAGAGCCGACGTACCTCTGTGTGTTTTTCCAGCATCCCTCCCTCAACCACAACTCCTCAATCTCAATTATTACTATCCCATCCAGGGATGGGGGAACTGCTCTGGATTCGGGCCAAACCCTTTCCTCGGACGACACGGCAAATTTGCATATTTTATACTATATCTGATTATATGTTAGTCTGAACTCGTACATTTATTTTAATGGGACAAAATAGTTGGTTGGCGGACACTGCCATTATTTATTTATTTATTTATTTTTTTTTTAACCTTTATTTAACCAGGAAGTCCCTTGAGACGAGGGAGACCTGGCCAAGACAGCACACCAGTTACAATTTAAATACAAATACAACATAGTCAAAAACAAACAAACAAGCATCACACATAAAAGAAAAGAGTAACTCAGCTCAAGCACGCAAACAAAGAACCAGACTGGTGCGGCCATCTTGGATGGATAGATGCAGAGCCATAGAGAGAAAGAGTTGCGACACGCTTTGATGTCGCCGCGACGGCTGTCACGTGGTTCATGTAAGCCCCAATAGTTCCAAAATACGCGGGCTGTCATGTTCTTCTATGGACAGACAGCAGCGATTGCATTATTAAACGGTAAATATAAAATAAAACACACACCCAAGTACTTTTTAAGCTGTTATTGCGTTTTGTTAATGTCAGTTTTGCATTTGGAGAGGCAGGGTGACAACTTAGATAAGTTTTAGGCTATATTTTTGGAGGGAAACGCTAGTGTTCATGTTCGCATGGGTAGTAATAGCACTGGCTTTAGCGGCTCTAACTTAACTTTTCCATGTCATTCATCTGATGATGGACGTCTCATGATATTTATTTTAGCACAACTGGGCTGTATTAGGCTATTGATTCCCGTGATCTTGCTTATAAATTCCGATTCAGCCATTAGCCTATACCTTCGTGATCACGCAAAGAGGTCTGCGGTCCGTTCAGAACTCCAACCAACATAAAATATAAATAATTACGCTGTGCATGTACAAATGAATGATTTAGGAGGGAAATAGACTGCTCCCATAACGTAGAAAGCAACGACTATATACAGCAATGTTCGGTAAATATTCAACCGAAAAATATTCTTCATAAAATTAAACCGGAGAGATAGTTAATGAGTGAATTAACTATGTTCCTAAATACATATAAGAACATGCATAGCCCTAACCCATTTAAATAAATGAATTGTGTGTGTGTATGTATATAATATTATATATAGGCTATATATATATATATATATATATATATATATATATATATATATATATATATATATATATATATACATATAAAATATTATTAAAAATATTATATATTATATACATCAGGTTACCAGTTAGCTAACGTTAGTGAAGTGTTGGTCACGTAAGCTATCGCTGCAATTAACCTATTATCTTCCAATAAACATTTACTAAAACTGGCTACATAAAATATAACTACAGACTAGATTCACGAGAGGTCGGCTAATGTGTGTAAAAGTAAAAAAAATACAGTAATTTCATTAATTTACCAGCGAACGTACTTCTGAAGCACTGAAAATGAATGGGGTTCAATGGAGAAACTATCAGTGTTTGGAACTATTGGCCGCTCCACGACACGCGTTACTTCCGCATTCCAAAGTTCCTATGGCGGTCTATCGGAGTGTCGCAACTCTTTTTCTCTATGGCTCTGGATAGATGGATAGATTATATGCCAAATATGAGTGGGCTGTCCATTCGCATTATATTTGAAAAAGATAAACAAAAACTGTATAACTGTAAGACTGGAAAAAACTGTAAGAGGAGGCTACTCTCTGAGAGAACAAGGGAAATTACCATTTGAAATCACAATCATTCTAATCTACTTCTCTTTTCCTCTTCCCCCACTCTCTCTCTCTCATGCTGAGATCACCTGAAGTTCATCCAAAATATATATGGGTTTAATGTGAACAATTTTCATACAGTTTATACATGTTTGGTATTATTTGAAATGTCTCAGTGCGACTGGTACAAATGTCTCATTTCCAAAGAAGTAAACCAAAAAGTAATAAGGTTTTTAAGAGTTTAGAGATAACATGCACACAAAGGAGGGTGGGATGGTTAAACCCTCCTGTTCTCAAATTCTGCAATTCTTTCAAAAAGAAATCTGCAAATTACCATTGTTAGCCCATGTCTCCATGTGAAAGAGGTTCTGGCTATATAATGAAACGCAGCAAAGGGATCGGGGCCTTCTGTACCTCAGATCAGCCCGTGGATGTTGAGAGCCGCCGGGACTCTCAGCTTCATGTGTCTCCTAATGTCGGGTTCGCATCTCTTCTCTTTATTCCAGAGCATTTGGTGTTATTGTATTGATATATTGAACCGATTATGAAATTGGCATGATACATTTACCTGACATAATAAATTGTTACATTTGATTATAATTGACTTTGACATTATTTTCATTCAAGAGTTAAAAAGAATAGTCAAACATTTGCTCACATTTAATGATGCACGGATATCATTAAAAACCTTTTCATTTATGGAGTCAGATGAAATAACGAGAAAATACATATGAGAAATGTATTTGATTTAATCAAAATTACTTTGCCACGCGGAAAGGCAGTAACACGCAGAGTCCTTCTCCGCTGATCGGATGCCTCCATTGGGCCGATTGAGCAGTTGGTTAATGTTCACATCCATAAACCTGTTATCAGAAGCCCAGTAAATTGCAAGTAAGTCTGTCCATTTCCAATTTATTGAATGGGCAATAGTAGGTTGGGCCTCTGATGACCCCCGTTGTACACTGGTTTGTCCACAAACCCGATTACAAAAGAGTTGCCTCTCTCTCTTCCAGGTTTAGCATGAAGGGAGAGTTTTTAGGATGCTGTCTTAAATGTGCAGCTGTCTTGAGAAGAGTGTGCATCTGACAGCTCTTAGAGCAGTGTTTCCCAACCCTGCTCCTGGAGGCACATTTTGAGTGTCTCTTTTATCTGACCCACATATTTCTGGTCTTGGAGTCTGATTCAGGTGTGATTGATTAGAAAGAGTTGGGAAATGTGTAGTGTTGGTGAGCCTCCAGGACCAGGGTTGGGAAACACTGCCTTAGGCTGCGTTTACACTTGGCATTAACATGTGACCTG